AGAACAGAGAGGGAAGGTTGGTCTGTCACACCACACCAGTGTCCTAATCCTTGAAAATTTCAAACTAGTATGTGAGTAGAAATAATGAGTTCAGTGTTTTCACAGAAGCAACTGAATTGTGTCCTGGCATACTTAAGTTTATAGAAAACATTAAAAAAAATCAGTAGTCCTATAAAACAAACATGGAACAATTAAATATCCCCTAAAGTCACACATGGCGCAAAGATAATGATATAACATTCCCAGCTGCAGTTGCTTTGAGGCAGGGCTAATTTTACAGCTAAGGAGAAGGTAAGTATATTTTGTGCTCTTGTGCACAAGGCTTCTTTATAGGAATCTTTTAAATTAATAAGCATAATTTTGTTCTTCAGACAAAAATCAGTAATTTGATTCTGCACTAGGGACAGATATTAAGGAATTTGTCTTTGGCCTAATGTAATGGTTAAAGCCAGTGGGCTTATTTGGTTGAAGTTGGCATTGGGAGGCTGAGTCCCTGCAAGGGCCATAGACCTCTCCATTAACAAGTCTGATCCCAGCTTTAAATCGGTCTTGTCCCTACATTTGCAAGGTGATGGTGAGTATTGAGGTGGTGTATGTGGCAGTGCTATACAAATGCCTTGGTCTCTGTGGTTCTCTGTAGCTGGTGATGATCACCAAGAGAATCCTGTGAATGCCCCTGGATCAACTTCCTGCCGTGGAGGAAAGAACAGCTCAAAGCACTGCAGACATCTCAAGTATCTTCTTGGTGTTAAAAAAAAAAAAAGTGCCTTATGACAAATAGCGTGTAGGTCATTTATCCAATATGCACATTTGAAGTTCCTGTAACAGCCTCCTGATAATTCACACAGAATAGTTCTTGAGCAATGAAAAGACCAGACTATGTATCCTAACCAGATCACCTTCAGTCTCAACCAAACTTCGGTGGCAAGCTCCAGTTTCAGACTGGGCAGTGAGCGTGAAGTCATTGAAACGCTTCAAACCGGGGCTGTTTGTGGTGCTCTACAGGAAGACAGGGGTCAGGATGCACACTTGATGCTGACAGGCCATGACTTGTTTGAAATGCTAGCATATTTCAGGAGGTCCTGCCAAAAAGAGCACTTCAGGAAAAGATTTAATGTGATATTCAGGATGGTAAGACTCCCCCCTGCCCGAAGTGCAGCCTGTCAGCATGAAGGCACGAGTGAGGGGAAACAGGGCATTTAAATGCTTCTCAGCTCAGTTGTACATTAATGGCTTCTCACTTTACCAGCACAGGACTGGCAGTGACGTGGAACTTCTAAGTTTCCTCCTCCTGCAACATCAAGATAAAGTGAAAGTAAACAGGCGCTTGGAAAGTTACTAGTGTTTTTCCTCATCAAAGCACATGAAAAAGGGTGGCAGAAAAGTTATTTTCTTTTGCTTTCAGTAATAGGTGTTCTCACAGCATTTCATGGCAGAAGCTTCTAGAAAGTGTTTTCTTTATTAAAAAAAATTTTTTTTTTAATGTTTAGTTCTGAGACAGAATGAAAGTGGGGAAGGGGCAGAGAGAGAAGGAGACACAGAATCTGAAGCAGGCTCCAGGCTCCAAGCTGTCAGCACAGAGCCCGACACTGGGCTCAAACCCACAGACCATGAGATCGTGACCTAAGCTGAAGTCAGCTGCCCAACCAACTGAGCCACCCAGGCGCCCCTAGGAAGTGTTTTCTCTATTACTCCCTTAGAGCACATACTTTTTATATTTGTCTTTTCTGTGTATGGTTACTCTAAAAGGCAGAGGCGTCTGAAAAGGCTTTGTGACCCATCTTAATTTACATTTCTAGGAGACAGAGAATTTATTCTTTAACTCAAATTAGACATTGACCCTCAGGTCTATGCCTCTGAGACAGTAACCAGTGCTTTTCCAGAGAGGAACTAGGCTACTTCCTATGGTGCTCTTCCTGCCTTCAAATTTAAATACTCTTACCAATATTTTCCTGTTGAGGGAGTTTTATTTAGAACAGTGGTAAACTGCCCTTAGAGAGGAGATTATTCACTTTGCAACAGGGACTAAATTCAAACATGTCTATTTCCGATTTCTTGAAAATGAAACAGGCTGAAGCGAGGGCATTGCAATGGTTAATACAGACTGCTGACTTCAGTGTTTGTCTCCATTTCTTTCATAACTCTCATTCTCAAGGTCAGCCGGCACACTCATTTCCACTGGATTTGATTGTTGGGTGGATAATGATGTTTTTACATGGAAGGTTTCAAAGGCTGGAATCTATGAAGGAAAATGTTTGATAGATCACAATGGGAGCTCAATGAGAGAAGGGATTTGCTTTTCCTCACTGTTGTATCCTGGGTGCAAAGAACAAAGCCTAGCTCATAATGAATGCTCAATAAATATTTGCTGCATAACTGGCAGTAATATTTTGCTGATCTAGAACCAAGCTGTTCTCAGATACGTACTTTAAAAACCACTTACCAATGACTGCCACTTATACCTTATTTTGAGTTTGGCATATCATTTTTTCATTAAAAGGTATTGGTGTTGGCACATTTATTCAACTGTTATTTTTTGAGAAAAAACATTGAAAAGAATGTCATAGGAGATGAAATATCAATGTATAGTCCATTTAAAAAATTTAATATTTTATTTATTTTTGAGAGACAGAAATAGAGACAGCGTGAGCAGGGGAGGGTCAGAGAGAGAGGGGGACACAGAATCAGAAGACAGGCTCCAGGCTCTGGGCTAGCTGTCAGCACAGAGCCCAACACAGGGCTCGAACCCATGAACTGTGAGATCATGACCTGAGACGAAGTCGGACACTTAACCGACTGAGCCACCCAGGCACCCCCAATGTATAGTCTATTTAACCAAAGGATGATTTACTAAACATTTATTAAGCAACTAAAATATTAAGACAAAGCATATATTGTTACAAGGGAGACCATGCTGAGATGAATCAAATGCACTCTGTTCTCAAGATGCTTGTCATGACTCTAATAGGGAGATTAGCCACAGATTGGTGTTCACCCGTATTATAAAGAAAAGGCCATGGAGAAGAAAGGGCACCAGGGAGTTTGAGCTCCAGGAAGACCTGCAGGGAGAGAAAGGACTGTGTCAAATGCATATCAGTGCCCTTATTGCCTAGCAAAGAGTAGATATTCCTGTTTGTTGAATGAATGAATGATCTCTTCCTCACAACAGAGGCTGAGTCCTTGAGTTTAAAATATAGAAAAAACCCAAATAAATAATGTTTCAGTGGATCAGAGGAAGAGACCACATCTAGATCAGGGAGAGTGGAGGAAGTCAAGGGTCATGGAGGTGGGGACAAAATGAGTTGCCAGGTCCAAGGAATGAAATTGGTAAAGGTATGGAGGGGAAGGACAATGGAGAGCAGGTGGGGGGAGGGTTCAGTAGCTGTAGCCGGATGTAGCCGGTGGATGTGTGGTGGGAGAAGACGATGGAGTAAGTGGCCCTACAAGTGAGGAGGGTAGGCTCCTGGGTGGCTTACTGGGCAGGCAAAGGGAAGCTAGGGGGCTTCAGCTTGGGGGAGCATCCTGATCAGGGAGATGAAATGTGTTGGGACCAATGACTCAGCAGTGGTGGGAAGTTGGGCAAAAGATCAGATTCAAGGCCACTTAACTTTTTTATTCCAGGTAGAAACAAAATCAGAGATCTTATTTAGAAGATAGGAGAGGGATTTAAAAAAATTCCTGAGACTTGAAAAACTGGAATGGAAAAGACAGGTGGTTAATTATACCCTGGTTTGGGAGTGGGGCGGATGAGGACAGAGGAGGAAGATTGCTCCTAACAAGAATAAGGAAGTGGTGGGGCGCCTGGGTGGCTTAGTCGGTTAAGCGTCCGACTTTCGCTTAGATCATGATCTCGCGGTTCGTGGGTTCGAGCCCCGCGTCGGGCTCTGTGCTGACTGCCAGCTCAGAGCCTGGAGCCTGTTTCAGTCTATGACTCCCTCTCTCTCTGACCCTCCCCTGCTCACGCTGTCTCTCTCTCTCCTAGAAATAAATTAAAAAAAAAAACATTAAAAAACTTAAAAAAAAAAAGAACAAGGAAGTGGTGGGTTTTGTTGGGGATGGAGGTAAGGGAGAGAGGTTACATTTCCAAAAGTCCTACGTGCAGAGAAGACAGCCAGTGGGGACGTGGGGTGGGCAGTTAAAAACCTGGTGGTGACTACACAGTGGCTTGAGTAGCTTGAGCTTTTGTTTCTTGTTTTTTTTTTTGAAGTGATGTTTTTATTTGAACAGTTACGCTGCCACATTTGGTAAAGTGAAAATTAATTCTCCTTCCCACCCATGGTTGCCTATTTTTCTCTCTTCAGAGGTAACCTGTTTCCAGTTCCTTGAATATCGTTGTAAGGATATACTGTATGTACCTGTTTTTTTTTTTTTTTTTTTTGTCTCCAGAGTAATTTGTTTTTTTAAAATTTTTTTTATAAATGTTTATTTTTTGAGGTTAGAGAGAGAGAGAGAGAGAGAGAGCATGCGAGCAGGGGAGGGGCAGAGAGAGAGGGGTATAGAGGATCCAGAGCAGGCTCTGCACTGACAGCAGGGAGCCTGATGTGGGGCTCAAAGTCATGAACTGTGAGATCACAACCTGAGTTGAAGTTGGATGTTCAGCCGACTGAGCCATCCAGGTGCCTCTTGTAGTTCTGTTCTTAAAAGCTAGAGGAGAGTATTTTTGAGGCAGGAGGAAAAGAACAAGAAGAGAGGGAGAGACTGAAGAAGCAAATTACAGGGGAATTACTGAAGCAAGTTCTTAGAGGAGGTAGGAGAGGATACAGTCTGTGGTGCAGGCATACACTTGGGGGAGAAGAGCGGGTCCTTTGCAGAACTAGGAAGGGCAGGTTGAGGGCAACAGAGATTTCTAATGCTGGATCACTTAGAGGGCCTAAGTCTCCTTGGTTTGGTGATGGCACAGAGACATGTAGAGGTAGATTGGTGGCTTGAGGAAGACGGCAGAGATGTAAAATAGCCACTCTAGACACTAGAAAATACCATAGAACTATCAGATCCAAAAATCAATCCAAAAATGTTTAATTTTGATGATTTATGAAAGAAATATCACCATAGCAACTTAAAACTATTTACAAATTTAAAAATAAATTTACAGAAATGTATCCACATCATATTACAGCAAACAGTTGAGTTAAAATGTTACAGATAGTGTTGGACAAAGATAACAAAACATAAATCAAGTTCTAAATCACATAAATGCCCTCAAAGCATGCTCAAAAACCACTGGAAGATGGTTCAGGTAGAAACTGGAAAACCTGACTCAGGAGCCGAAAGTAAGGATGATTATACCACCGGTTGTAGGGATGTGACCAAACAAATGTCACTTTAACTTAAACTGCAGCCAGAAGCTTACATGTAGTCAAATGGAAAGAAATGTGAGAATTAAAAAAAACTTTTTAAAGCTTATTCTGGTGGAAGCCCATAGAACACAGGACTTGGAAATTTCTATTCTGATCTGTCAGAAGGTAGTTCTAACCAAGGGTGATATTACTTGTGGTTAACTAGGCATCACACTGTCCTTTGGCCAGGTTACACACCAAACAGTATTCCAGTGAGTTGGGTGGGGAGGGAGAAGCCTGAGGATGCGACCGACCACAGCGGCGGTGGGGCTTGCTGCCCGGGGCTACTCAGGGTTTCACCTGCACGGTAACAGCCCCCGGGGGGCAGAACACCATCTGAAGAGTTGGCACGGACCCTGGTCTTGGACGCTGCCTCCGATAACTGCCGGGCACTGTCCCTGAAGCCCTGAAGGGAATGCTCGGCAGCTGCCTGGGCACGCTTCCCTCAGCCTGGCTGCCAGGCCAATTACGCAGCGGCCGGGAGCTCCGTGGAGATGTGACCATCTGAGACCTAAGTGTGAAGACTGCTGCCGACCACTCATTCTTATGAGGAAAGTGGTCAAAACTTGGTGTTTGCCAAGACCTGAGAATTATTATCTAGTTTAATTAATCCAAGGTATAGAGGGGTTCACTTCAGCTCATTCCTTTACGTATGGCCCTTAGAATAAACGGAACTCCCCTTCCTTATATTGCCTGATTTACAGCCAGATGTGTGACCCTCAAGTGTTAAGTTCCAGGATACATGTTATTAATAATTAAAAATAGCTAATTTTACTAATCTGGCAACTTGTGGCATTTCATAATTACGAGCCTTTAAAATTTAATACAAGTACAATTTTTTCTTATCCATTGAATGCATACACATTAATATCAAAGGCACTTTTAGGTTACATGATCAACAAAAATACATCGATCGAGACAGCATTATTTACTTGTTCCTTCAGTTTCTGTGTCCATGTTGATCATCGAGAGCCCAGTTTTGCACTTCACCTTTGCCGAATAGTGTGAAGAAAATGGCACCAAACACATTAATAGTAGCAGCAATGCAGAAAACGGTTTGCCATTCTCTAATAGTGTTCTATAGAAAGAAAGAAAAATATGCAGATGAGAAAGAACTTTGTTTACAGTCCGCTTTATAGAAAAGGTGGTGTCACAAGACTGTTACAACAGTAGTGCTAATCATAAAAGCCTCATGCTGGAAACAGCCCAAATGTCCATCAATAGTGAAATTGTGTTCTATCTGTTCAATGAATACTATACATGGTGAAAATGAATGAGCTACAATATCGACGCACATCACTAACAAAATGTGAAGCAAAAGAAGCCAGACCTAAAAGAGGGTGTACTGAATGACTTTTACAACTTTGTGCAAATTTATCAGCTTAGGATGTATATATTTTAAAAATACTGTAATGCTTCAATAAAGAGCTTACTCAAAATAAAACGTGTGGCATGTCTTTCCACCATGTGTTACTAGGAAAGTAGTATGCCTGCCCATCATGTCTCAAGTTCTCAGGTGGGAGGTACAAGGGGCAATCAAGTCAGGATGAGTTAAGATGGACTCTGAAGTTCAAGTTTGAGGCCTGGCACACAGAGCTCTTGAATGGCACACACAACAGGACGCGTGTGGGATTTGCCAGTTAAGAGATCAACAAAACACAATTGTTTGGCATATAATCCGGTGGTATGAAAACATTAGGCAGTTAGCTAATTTCTGAGTCATGTGACAACTTAAACAACCACCTTTTGGATTTTGCAATGTCTAACCGGAATGCCGGTTTGCAGCATTTAAAGGAGAAAAAACAAGTAGAACTGGTAACGAGAAAGAAAAAGGAGGCTAGTATGAGGTCATTCCTTTAGGAAAAAAAGGAAAGTCACGGAGAAAGAAAGCACTCTGCTGTTAAGTTATACTTATCTGAGATGCATGTATTTTGGGGAAAAAAAATCTTAGAAATCCATCTTAAATTTTAGTATGCAAAACTATTTAGTATGCAAACAACGTGTTTTTAAATTTTTTCAAAATGTTTTATTTATTTCTGAGAGAGACAGCATGAGCAGGGGAGGGTCAGAGAGAGAGGGAGACACAGAATCTGAAACAGGCTCCAGGCTCTGAGCTAGCTGTCAGCACAGAGCCCGAAGCGGGGCTTGAACTCACAAACTGTGGGATCATGACCTGAGCTGAAGCTGGATGCTTAACCGACTGAGCCACCCAGGCGCCCCACCAATGTGTTTTTAAAAAAAATTCTAAAAATACATTTATTTATTTTTGAGAGAGAGAGAGAGACAGAGTGTGAGTGGGGAAGGGGCAGAGAGAAAGAGGGAGACAGAGAATATGAAGCAGGCTCCAGGCTTTGAGCTGTCAGCACACAGCCCAACATAGGGCTAGAACTCATGAACCATGAGCTCATGACCTGAACTGAAGTCAGACAGTTACCTGACTGAGCCACCCAGGCACTCCACGAACAATGTAGATTTTATTTATATTTGACTCATTCCACAAAGTTTTTGAGGCAGTGCAGTAATTTTTAATTGTGAGCAATTACAATTTTAAAGGCAAATGTGTGTTTTTCCCTTTAAAAAATATCCTTTTAGGAGTGCCTGGGTGCTTCAGTTGGTTAAGCCTCCGACTTCGGCTTAGGTCATGATCTCACAGTTTGTGGGTTCGAGCTCTGCGTCGGGCTCTGTGCTGATAGCCAGCTCAGAGCCTGGAGCCTGTTTTAGATTCTGTGTCTTCCTCTCTCTCTGACCCTCCCCTGTTCACGCTGTCTCTCTCTCTCTCTCTCTCAGAAATAAATAAAACATTAAAAAATCCTTTTAATAACATTAAACAAATGCTATAATAGCATATCCAAAATTCAGTTCAGTTCCCACTTTACATTCAAGACTTTAATTGAAGAATCTGGATTTCCCTAGCAGAAATGCTACAATTACCCATAATAAGTAAAATTAATATCTGATAAAATGTTGACTTAAGTTTGGGTTGCCATAATGCTTCATGAATAAGGTTAAATATTTCTGATGTGTCCATATATATTATATATTTTTTGATGTGTCTATATTGAGACACAGAATTTTAAAAGAAAAAAAAACTTTTCCCAACATTCCTATTTAAAAAAAATTTTTTTTAATGTTTATTTTTTGGAGAAAGAGAGAGAGAGATGAGTGTCAGCAGGGGAGGGGTAGAGAGAGAGGAAGACACAATCTGAAGCAGGTTCCAGGCTCCGAGCTGTAGCACAGAGACCAACACAGGGCTTGAACCACTTACTGTGTGAGATCATGACTTGAGCGGAAGTTGGAGACTTAACCGACTGAGCCACCCAGGTGCCCCTCAACATCCCTTTCTATTAAATGATACAAAACAGTAATAAGGAGGCACCAATTCATTTAAGTAGGGAATTAGAAATGGTGGGAGCAGAGAAGAAATAAGAACACAGCGGTGAATACATATACGTCCAAAATCAGTATATCTGGTAATAATAAAGTTTGTAAGCATATCCTGAAATTCTAAGGATTCGATGGTGTTAATTTGATTAGAGACAAAGAGAGGATGAAGTCTCTTTTAGACATTTAGAGTTAGCCTCTTGAAGAATATATTTCACCAGGCGTTAGATTGTTTTAAACAGTAGAACACTGGAGCTGGAGGTCGCTGATTTTTATTTCTCACACATTGTGGGCAACTTTGACAGTGCCGAGTCTCTGCTTCCTGATGTGGCACCACGCTGCCTCCCTGCTCCAGACCCACCAACCCTGGGCCCCGGGAGGGGGGCTCAGTGCCCTTCCCGCACCCTACCCACTCCTCCAGGGCTCCTTTCCCACAGACTGCGTGTTCTCTCCCCTGTGCCCACAGCACTCTGCACACATTTCTTTTCCTGCAGCATTCGCCACTCTGTACTTTACTTGATTGCATACAATCTCTAAATGATGAGTTTCTCAAGTGTAGAAGCTTGTCATTTTGCCTCTGGATCCTTAGTACCTGGCATATTAATAAGCACTCAAGAAATGCCTATTTAGGGGCACCTGGGGGGGTCAGTTGGTTCGGTGTCCAACTTTGGCTCAGGTCATGATCTCACTGCTCCTGAGTTTGAGCCCCACATCCGGCTCTGTGCTGACAGGTCAGAGCCTGGAGGCTGCTTTGGATTCTGTGTCTCCCCCTCTCTCTACCCCTCCCCTGCTCATGCTCTGTCTCTCTCTCAAAAATAAATCAACATTAAAAAAATGTAATAACAAAAATCTTAACAGGTGAAAAAATGTAACAAATTATTTAAGATGCAAAATTTGGACTCAAGTTTGGTTTAATAAACCAAATGTTCTGAGTATTGTGGAAATTAAGCAAGATTTTTAAAAAATAACCAGTTAAGGGCACCTGGGTGGCTCAGTCAGTTAAGCATCGACTTTGGCTCAGGTCATGATCTCACGGTTTGTGGGTTTGGGCTCTATATTGGGTTCTGTGCTGACGGCTCAGAGCCGGGAGCCCGCTTTGGATTCTGTGTCTCCCTCTCTCCCTGCCCCTCCCTCGCTCGCACTCCTTCTTTCTCTCTTTCAAAAAATAAACATTAAAAAAAAAAAAAAAGAAATGCCTGTTCAATACATGCTAGACTATTTCAGGGCTCCTAACTTAGAAGGCAGCCCACTCAATATAGTAGACAGCTTCAAACAGGAAATTTTCCTATTGTGTCCTCATTACTTCTCTCCATCTGTCTTTGTGGAACTGCTGAGAATAAGTCATTATCTTCTGTGCAGCGGTCCTTCAGTGTGTGAAGACACCTCTCATGCCTTCACACGTCTTCTGCTCCTCTCAGTATTCATCATTTTGCCTGTTCTTATTCATTTCCACATGACCTCCTGACATCTCTCTCACCTTTGTGGACCCACTTCTTGAATAATGTTACATTGCCAGCTTATTTGTTCAAATCAAAGACACAAGATATTGTATAAAATCATGACTTAAAAAAAATTTTTTTATAGCTTTTATTTATTTTTGAAACAAAGAGAGACAAAGCATGAGCGGAGGAGGGGCAGAGAGAGGGGGAGACACAGAATCTGAAACAGGCTCCAGTCTCTGAGCTGTCAGCACAGAGCCCGACGCAGGGCTTGAACCCACGAACCGTGAGATCATGACCTGAGCCTAAGTCAGATGCTTAACAGACTGAGCCACCCAGGTGCCCCAAAATCATGACTTTTAAGTATGTGTGTGGTGTCAGCTACAACATCTTCATTGAATTTAGTTCTATTGTTCTGTATAAAATCCAAAGAGTGTTCTTTGAAAATAGACTTTCCTATTCATTATGACATTTAGCTTTTTGTTGATATAAGGAATTGTATAAGAATAAACATTCAGGGTGCTTGAGTGGCTCAGTTGGGCATCCACCTTTGGCTCAGGCCATGGTCTCACGGTTCTTGGGTTCAAGCCCCGTGTTGGGCATTGTGCTGACAGCTCAGAGCCTGGAGCTTGCAACGGATTCTGTCTCCCACTCTCTCTGCCCCTCCCCATCACACGTTCTGTCTCTCACACTCTCTCTCAAAAAGAAATAAACATTTAAAAGAGTAAAAAAAAAAAAAAAAGAATAAACATTCAGAATTTTACTTTTAATTAAAATACACTCAATACCTGACACAGATGTGCAGGTTCAAATGAACTGTGTAGACCTTTGTAGTTTATAAGCAAATTATCTACTTACATCAGGGGTCAGACTTTTAGCAATGACAGGCCCAATCATTCCTGGAATAGTGGCAAATGTATTTGTGATGCCCAGGAGGATACCAGCATACCTGAAGAAACATTTTCATAGAGGTTTATTATTGTGTTAGACATTTAAGTAGCTTCTTTCAATAGACAGCTGTACTATTTCCAGAATACTCTGTATTCTTGTGAAATTTTATGGCTAAATGAAATGTCGTACTAAGTTGGACTGAATATATTTAGCTGGTGAAAAATTTGCATTTCAATAGTTAATTAGCATTCTAACATTATATACAGGAACACAGTCACTGAAATGATCCTTTTTATAGTGATTTAGAAAAGTGTTGAGATTGATTTTTATACATGACTATATTAGATAGGAAGCTTGATGCGTCTTAAGGATTTTTAGTTAAGAAAAAAAAAAAAAGAGAGAGAGAGGGGGCACCTGGGTGGCTCAGTTGGTTGAGCAATCGACTTCAGCTCAGGTCATGATCTCATGGTCTGTGAGTGCAAGCTCTGTGTTGGGCTCTGTGCTGACAGCTCAGAGCCTGGAGCCTGTTTCAGATTCTGTGTCTCCCTCTCTCTCTGCCCCTCTCCAGTTTGCACTCTGTCTCTCTCTCTCTCAAATATAAACATTAAAAAGAAAGAGTTTATTTCCTGATTACATAATCTTTTTCAGTGTTGAAAATTTGAAACAAATTAAGAAGAAAATAAAATTACCTATAGTCCTTCCATATAGAGATAATCAATATTAACACTTTGGTAAATATCCTAATTACTTTTGTTTATATATACATATTTCAAATATTATTATAGAAATGAGATAATATTGAATATATAATTCTACAACTTACTTGTTCTACTTATAATGTATCTGCTTATCGCTAAGTCTTTGCATAGTATTCCAGAATTAGTCAAGTTTGGTATACGTTGTGTGTGTATATAACAAAAAAAAATTGCATTCTAAAAAAAGTTTATTTGACAGAGAGAGAGAGAGAGATTGAGAGAGAGCGGGGTGGAAGTCAGAGAGGGAGACAGAATCTCAAGCAGGCTCCATGCTATCAGTGCAGGAGCCCTATGCAGGGCTATATCTCATGAACCCTGAGATCATAACCTGAGTCAAAATCAAGAGTCAACCTACTGAGCCACTCAGACACTGCAAAATGCATAAACTCAGTTTTTAATAAACTCAGAAAAAGCTGATTTATTTTAAAGGTAAAGCTTAGAGGCGTGGGATATTCTCACTTATGTTTAGGTGTAAATCTTTAAAGAAAGAATTCCCGCTTGTACTTGGGAAACACTAATGATCTGTTGATTTCTCCAATACATAAGGAATGTATGTAGACTGAGGAAGGCTACTAGAAATGCTTATTATTTTCTGTAAAGAAGTCATATTGGGGCACCTGGGTGGCTCAGCTGGTTAAGCATCTGACTCTTGACTTCAGCTCAGGTCATGATCTCATGGTTTATGAGTTTGAGCCCCTCTGAGCTATCAGCACAGAGCCTGCATGGGATTCTCTCTCTCTCTCTCTCTCTCTCTCTCAGCCCTTCCCCTGCCCCCCCCCCAATAAATAAACACTAAAAAAAAAATGTCATATTGGACTGCCAATCAGGAGACCTAAAGATTTGTGACCCTTAGTTCTACCATTGACTATCTATGTGACCTTGGGCCAGTTAGTGACAGATTATTTCCCTTATCATTCATGGCTTCATTGATGTATACACGTAACATATTTGTTGGTCTCACATGAGATCCCCCACAATCCACCAAGTACACTAAAATATTATTTTTGAGTATAGCATACACATGGAAACAGGTGAAAGTCGTATGCGTACAGCTGGATGAACTTTAACAAACTGAACACAACCATGTCACTAGCACCCAATCAAGAAACAGAACCTACTGGGGCGCCTGGGTCATTCAGTCGGTTAAGCGTCCGACTTTGGCTCAGGTCATGATCTCACGGTTCGTGGGTTCGAACCCCGCGTCAGGCTCTGTGCTGACAGCTAGCTCAGAGCCTGGAGCCTGTTTCAGAGTCTGTGTCTCCCTCTCTCTCTGACCCTCCCCTGCTCACACTGTCTCTCTCTCAGAAATAAATAAAAACATTAAAAAAAAAAAGAAACTACTGGAATAAACATCTTAAAGGATGTTTCATGTAGGTTGAACTACCTCTCAGACTGTATAAGCTTTAATTTGAATAACCATAATTTTGTCAAGTCATCCCTATTCAAAAACTTACAAGATGGTTTAATGCTTACCCTAGGAAGACTGTAATCTTTTCTGCCTGACTGGCAGTGGCCTGGCCCCGGTCCATCTACCCAGCCTTATTACCTAGTAGTGCAGAATACACAACTTCAGATTCAGACAGCTCTCTTTCCAGCTGCTCATATCTGCTATGCTCATTCCTGTTAATTATCTCTATTCATACTATACTATCTGAAGTCCACACTCTTTCTGTCCAGACTACTTGCTTAGCACGGCTTCCATGAAGCTTTCTTTGTCTAGTTCAGCTCATATTGAGCTCTGTGTTCCCACAACTTTATTGTCCTTAAGACAATTGGGTTTTAAGAGGTAATTGCTTTATAATTCAAGTTTGCTAGTTCTGATTCTATCGTCTCACTACAAACTCATGTTTTATTCCTCGTTATTTTTGCCAGGGTCAGTACGTATATGCTCATTCATGCCAACCAGAGAAGTGGCAATGTGACCCACAGTTGTCTCAGGCTCTGTGCATGGATCCCTGGGGCACTGGCTGCACTGAATATGGGAACTTTGCCCTACGGAGACTAATACCTCTCTTGGACACTGGCTCCAAAGGATGCTGATTCCTGACCAGGAATTTCATATGAATGGAATCACACAGCATATAGTCTTTTAAATTATACACTAGGGTTGCTAAACATCCCAAGCTGTTATGTGTATCAATAGTTTCTTAATTTTTTATTGCTCTCTTTTTAATTGCAGAAACTGGGATTTTGTCATATAGTCCTACATTCTAAATTTTGTAGGTTGCATTCCTGAGTTATCATTTAGCATAATCTTATGTTCCCTGTATTTCCTGTACACTGATAGTATCTAGACTCTAGATCACAGAGCGTATATTAGATTTAGCCTTGATTTTTTAGCAGGAAATTTTAAAGGTGATGATGGAGTTAAAAACTGGTTAACTAAGTAAATGGCATTTATTAATTTATTTTTCATAAGAATCATCTAGGCATATACAGTCCAATTAGAGCTTTTAATTTTTCATGAAATAATCAGTGTTATTATAAAATAAAATTGTTTCAAATTAAAGAAGCTCAATATTTATTAGTCCATATAGTCTTATTGTGGGATACTAACATTTCTGTTAGTATTTAGGATCCTAAGTATTTTGGTTGCAGATGATGAATCTGAATTTCCTCTCCCTATTTTGGATATGGACAAGTGCCTAATGTGGATTGAACTGTGTCCTCCCAAAATTCATATGTTGAAGGCCTAAACTCCACTGTGACTGTTCCTGGAGATTCGGTTTTTAGGAGGTAATCAAGGTTGAATAAGTGTAGGTCTTAACCCAATAGAATTAGTGGTCTTATTGAAGAGGAAGAAAGAGAAGTTGCTCGGGGCGCCTGGGTGGCTTAGTCGGTTAAGCGTCCGACTTTCGCTTAGGTCATGATCTCGCGGTTCGTGGGTTGGAGCCCCGCGTCGGGCTCTGTGCTGACTGCCAGCTCAGAGCCTGGAGCCTGTTTTGGAGTCTGTATCTCCCTCTCTCTCTGACCCTCCCCTGCTCATGCTGTCTCTCTCTCTCTCTCTCCTAGAAAGAAATAAAAAAAAAAAAAAAAAAAAAAAGTTGCTCTATTTCTGTGAGTATTGGAAAAGAGCTCTCATCAGAACCTGACCATGATGGTACCCTGATTTTGGACTTCCAGCTTCCAGAACTGTGAGCAAATAAATTTATATTTTTTAAGCTACCCTGTCTATGGCATGTTGAATGGCTGCCTGAGTTGACTAAATACAGTGCCTAAATAAAACTTCCTGCTAAACTGAATTAAATTATCTAGAAATATCACAAAATTTTATGTTCAAAACTCATTCATAGTGGATACAATAACGAAAGCATATGGCACAGGTCTTTTTGGCTTATGCCCTTTAAGGAGCGTATCTTAAATTAACCAAGCTTGGCAGAACTTGTATGTTTTTTTTAAAACCATTAACACCTTGCCAGTAGGAGGAACCAACTGCAATGCTGCCAGGCCTTTTCAGTGACAGATATTAAGTGCAGATGAGTGCTGTGAAATTCTAAATGTCAGCACCAAGAAACTCATTCAAGTATTTCTATTACACTTGGCTAGAAAGGGCCATGAAAGATTGATGGCTGTTTGGAAAAAAAACATGTTGTACAGACTCAGTCTGGATTCTGTGCTGGTGGAATACTAGAATGCAGTGGGATTAACAGTTAAAAAACCCATCCAATTCCCCTATATCTGGACAACAAAATCACCCACAGAAAATCTCTATTTCATTCTATAGAAGAAAAGGCTTAGAAATACCATGAACACATGTATATGTTATATATATATATGCTTATTCAAAACCTTATCTCAGGTATGGCTCTAAGTATTTTATGTATCTATCCCATTTTAATAGTAAAATCTACTCCATGAGGTAGGGATTGGGATCTCCTTTCTACCGATGAAGAAAGGCTGTAAAATGTTACCCAATTTTTCTAATTCCAAATCAGGACTTAATATTACAAGGTTAAAATCCATAACATTGCCTTGTTAATAACATACTCATCACTGAATTCAATCTGTGAGGGAATACCAGTTTTCTCATGCTTAATTTTTCATCATAAGCTCCAGTGCTGAATGCTAAAGTCTGTGGTCCTCAATGGTTCCTGTTCTAACTATCAGAGTACTACCCTGTGTGTGGGCACTCAGTTGTTACCAAAGAAAAAGCAGCTACGCAACATCATTGTCATAAAATATGTAATCCTTCAGTTAACCAAGATGTGGAAAACCGGAAACAGCTACTATCCTTTGTACCAAGAAATTCTAGTTGGAAGGCTTATCTGAAGGGTTGTTGAGTCAAAATATAAGGGGGTGGGGG